TCACATCACAAATGCTAAGCGTAAAAATGCCAATGGCCCTCGTGACTTCCCAAACCAGCACATACATTCCTTCTTATGGATAGAAAACACTACTGAGCTCACATCATTTCTGCCCTGAGCTAAAGTCACAGATGACTTTTTGTTGTTGTTGTTCTGAGGTGGCATTTTGTGCTGAGGGAGGCTGAAGGAACTAACTTGAGTTGATCAAGGGTAGCCTTGACTGGCCAGGAACACTCAAGAACAATTCCCTGGACTATTGTGAGAGCTTAGGGACATTTCCCAAGTCCATTCTTTCCATATCTTTTCCCAACCAAAGCTAAAATACTGCTTCAGCAGCTGATTTACGGAAGCCCTATCAATGATATATTGGCGCACACATGGTCTTTAGATGTTAGAATTGCAGATTCTACCGTTCAGTTTTCTATCATGTGTATTTTGGTGGTTACTTTCCCTCAGTGTGACTGGTGAGCTGCTGGGCCTGGGGCCTGGGGCCTGGGCAAGTATAAATTAAGCACATGGGAAGGGAAGAGAGGGCAGGCTGAGGGGCAGACAGCCTCCCATTCATCAGGGTCTCCTCCTGCACCCTCAGCCTTCGGTGACTAGTTCTTATCTAAGTTTGGAAACAGGGAACAAGGTGAGCTTGACCAACCCTCACATGTCCATAGAATTATGACTCCCCAAGGTCCACGGGCTCCAGAGTAGCCGTTGTTCCGTGTAAAGGCACAGTTAATGCACATAGCTGGTCACCAGTGGGCAACACAATGAATAGCTCAGTCCAGCATGGGAAGGCTCGAAAGCTACCAGGGACCCTTTTTTCCTGAAAGTTCTGACACGGGGAAACGATCAAGTAAAATGTTCTTTGTAAGTTATGCCGAAGTCATGTCAAGGCTAACCTTTCTTTGTCTGGCAGCTCTGTGGAGAATGTTACACTATCTCCCTACAATAGCATAAATGTTTTCTCCACAATAGCATAAATGTAGGTCTTATCTCTTGAATGAAGCCCAGACAATTAAGGGGAGGCTGAGACTGGACCAGTCTCATGAGAAAGGCCAAACCCATATTATTTGATAACATCAAAGGGAGGGAGGGACCAGCATGACCTAGAATGAGCACAGCTCTGAGCCACTCAGCCTGACAGCTCTGCCTGTCAATTCTGACCAGGTCCTCAGACCCTGTGACCTTTGAAATGTGACATGGAAACTATACTTCATGGGGGTGACAAGGAGAACCTGACGATTGAAAAACAGCTTTAAGTAATACCCACATTACTGACACTGGGACAGGTAGGACCTGGTGGTTCTTGCTACCAGGAATTTGATGATTGTTTTCTTGTTGATTTTTGTGCACATTCAAGTGCCCACAAGGGTGTTCTTGCTCAGAAATCCCCATTTCTCCTTCTGCTTGAATGATTCATAGAGAATGCTGGCCCAGGGACAGTGCAGTTTCAGGAAAAATGGACTCTAGGGAGTGAATGGGGAACAGGGACTCCTTGTAAGGAAGGCAGCGTGGTGCCTCTGTGGGGCACACAAGGAAGGCAAGGATTAAATGCCTTCTGTTGAATCCCACAGGGTGACATTTTGCATCCGCTCATGTCCTATGGCAGTGACACACAATGGCCCAGAAGGCAGGATGCATGGTGCTAACCCGATGCCAGACTGGAGGCTCCGAGAAATTCTCCTAAGATCGTTCACTTTCTCTGAGGTACTTCTCAGAAACTTCACAGGAAACTCATTGACTGAAAGACTACACATGAGGCTATGAACCAGCCAAACGCACCACTCAGCCCTGGGGTTTTTTCATTTCAGATGTCAAATTGCAAACTTGAAAGTGGATATGAAAAGATGCTTTTAACACTTTTAAATATTTAATCCAAATTGCTCTCAAGACTCTCCCTGGCCCAAATTCACACTGCATATTCCAGTTGGAGTAAATTTAATTAATAAATACTGAATATTGTCTTTCATAGCTTATCACAAAATAGTTTTCCTCTAAAATCCATGCTTTAAAAGTTTCTGTTAATCTTAGTATTTTTTTCTATTCTTTTTTTTAAAATTCACTCATTTATTTTAGAACAGGATTGAGGCTTTGTCATATATGCTTAGGCAAGTATACTACCATGAAGCTGTATCTCTAGCCTCTCTTAGTCTGACCTGAGAATGCAGTATTTCCCTTCTTTCTCTTCTTCTCCCTCCTCCTTTCCCTCTGCAGAATGCCCCTAGGATCCTGCACAGGTAGGCAAGCACTCCATAACTTAGCCTAATTCACCAGCCTGAAAATACCATGTTTTCTAGAGAAATGTTTATAATAATAGAAGTTTGGGAATAAGAGTATTTCAAAGGAGATATGGTCACTTTGTCACGGGACCAGGGTGACAATTTTATGCATGCAGGAATGCTGTCCCTCAGAAATCCTGGGAAGGCGAACCACAGCATATACCATGTCACATGTTCTTGGGTCTCCTTTGGTCAGTATACAGGGGAATAGGAACAGATCAAGCCAGTGCCCAGCCTGGAAGGGACACCAAGCACAGGACTGGGTTGTGCTTCTCAACTCTGCTTGATGGACGGATGTACAGGACGTACCTCTGCTCTGTCCACACCACAGGAGTGGCTGGGTCATAATTCAACTCAGAAAGAGAATGAACTGAGTTAACTGGTGTTGGAAAGATACATGGCTCGGGCTGGAAGACTTGGTGTGTTAGGGGGTACCCAGAAGCCATGGGGACTCATCTTACACTGGCAGGCCTGGAGTGCACACAATGCCCGGATACTGCCAAGGGCATAGCAGCTGGTGTAATCAGTGACAGGTCAGCTACCGGACGTCCATTAGGCAGAGGAAAGAAGCACACACTGGGGTCTCTAAGCCATCCCTGGCATGCAGAGAATGTTGCAGGGGGCCTTGGATAGACACAGCAGGTAGGCAGCCATCCCCTAAAATCCCAGCCGGAGCCAACCAACAAAACAACAGGAAGAACTTAGCCTGGCTGAGACAGGGACTGCACAGGACGCTGGGGCAACAGGAAGGCTGTCAGCCACCCAGCCTGGAAACAGCAGGAGTGCGGGCTCAGGCTGCCCCCCGCCCCCACCCTCAGCAGCCACAATTCCCGAACGCTGGAATTATTAGGTGTTGTTTTGGACTGCAGACACCAGTCATACACAGACGTGTTTTCAAAGCTCAGTTCTGGTCTGCAATGGTCGCCATTTGATTCATTTTTCCAAGAAACCAAACAAGAGCCCAGCTTTGGAACATGGGCTGTCCCAAAGTTCTCGGCGTTCGGAAGAGTAAACAGCCGCTTGGCTTTGGGACGGGAGCTAAAGGGTAGATTTTTTTTTTTTAAATACTTTCTAAGCAAAGAGAAACTGCTCTGTAGCAGAGAGTAAAATGTACTTTTGATTGCCTTATTCGAAAATGTACAGGGACAATCATCAATCATTTAAAAGATACTCATAAAACATATGAGTTTTTGTGCGAATATAACTTTGGAAAACAAGGTTATCCATTTATCTAATCAAGGAGAATGTCAAAAGGAGAGTGAGAAGGCCAGGCCTTTGGGACTGAGAGATGAGGAGGAGGTGGGGAAGGGGGGCTGAATAAGAAACCCAGGAGGAAGGGAAGCTAGAAGGGAGAGAGGGAGAGAGACGATACACATGGAGCAGCGGTGGGGGTGGGGTAGCGGTTCTAAAGAACCCAGCAAGGACTTCAGCCTCTGGGGAGAATGGGAAGGAAAGGGAAAGAGAAGAACTGGAAAGCTGGGACAGGCAGAGGGAGGAGAGGGCTAGGGAGGGATGGAGGAGGGGAGCACGTGGGGGAGGGGAGCAGGAGGAAGACAGAGGAGGAGATAGTTGGGATCTCAGCACAAGGAAGAATGAGAGAGAAAAGGTAGAAAGGAGAAGCACACAGGGGAGCCAGCTCTGAAGGACCAGGTAAGGACCTTGCGAAGAGGGTAATACACTGTCAGGGGGGAGCTGAGTCCTCCCAATGCTTATGTCCAATCCCCGACCCCAGAACCTTAGAATGTATATGGATTTGGAGACGGAACCCAGGTGGGGTTGAACAACTCCTCACTTAAGGAGGAAGTGTGGACTCACAAAAGGAAGCCACACAGGGAAGGGATGCCACCTGCAAGTCCAGGGGAAGCCATAGAGGATCTGCCTGATCCCGCCTTGCCCTTGGCCTTCCAGATTCCATAATGGTGAGAAAATGACTACTTCAGCTGCCTGGTCTGCAGGACTTAATCACACCAAACCAACACACTTGTCAAAATCTCAGGGATGATAATCAAAAATTCATCCTCGGAGCTGACCTCAGAGGCCATCCTGTCTGGGACGAGTCCATTGTCGTTAGTCCATTGTAGGGTACTGAGCCCAGCATTAAAGGAGGGAAAGAGCAGAAGGACAGGAGAGGAGAAGAGGAGGGAAGGCAGAGGAGGAAGAGGAAGGAGAAAAGGAGGAGGAAGAGGAGAAGGAGCACACCCCTGAGGATTCAGACTCCTGGCTACATGGCCCTCCTCGAGAATCCTGTAGTCCTCCAAGTGGAATAGCTAACTGGTGAAGCCCACCTATCACCATCATGCATGTGGATAGCTCCCTATGCCTGGGTGTCTAGTTTAGGATCTCTTCCTCCCTGGGAATCTCGGGTAGCATATGGTATAGGTGCTTGCAAAACCCAAGCCAGCCAGTGTCACCCTGTGCTCACAACATGAGGCTAAGGTGGCTCTGACCTTACACATGCTAAGAGTTAGGTAAGGCCTGCTCCAATTTCCTCTTGTTGTGAACTGTTCTTCAGCTGGCAGTAAGGGGCAAATGTGTCTATGACTGTTAGAGAAGATGCCTGGAGGCTGAGCTGTCAATCTCAGGCCACATGGGCACCATCTATCTCCCTCCCGAGCCCTGTCCTTACTACCAGGCCCACACGGCAGTATTCTCCTTGAGCTCCTCCCCGATAGCCATGTGATCAGTAGGACCCTTCCCTATCCCTCCTGCTTGTATCTGGGTTCCTACCTAAGATCCATTTCTCTGACAAGTACTGGATCCTTGTGTCTTTCTTGTCCTTGTAGGGACCAATGATGAGGCTGGCCAGCTGAGGGGCTGGGCTGACTTGGCCACCACACAGGAGTACCAGTTCACACAGTTTGTCTCTGGGAGGGCTGCTGGCTGGTGTGATGAACATCTTCGGCAGACTGGCAAAGAGCGTTCCTTGATATTGCTGGGTAGATAAATGGCGTTCAAGTCGGCAGATCTGTGGGCAGATGGAAGTAAGTCAGTGAGGGCAGAACTCACTCTGTGTGGAGATCAGGTCAACAGTGAAGCTCGCTTGCGTCTCTTTTCAAAATATGGACTCAAGGTAAGGTTGTTGTACTAGTCAATTTCTATCAGTATGATAATGTAAGCAAGGCAAACATCACCAGAGCTTTCCCTTGGCTCGTGGTTTCAGAGGGGTCAGCCCATGGTTGCTGGGAAACAAGGTTGCAGAACAAGGGCTATGGGGAAAGGCACACCCCAGCAATCAGTTTCTTCCAGCTAGTTCCTACCTCCTAACAGCCCATTCAGTCATGAACCCATGCATAGATGAATTCTATGATGAAGTTAACACCCTCCCGATATAACCACTTCTCAAACAGCATGGCCAGCTGGAGACCAAGGCTTCAATGCATTAGCCTTTGGGATCCTACTTTATATCCAAATCACAAGAACAGTTCATTCTTTGGCAAGTTTTATATTCCCAAGACTCAAGAAGACAATGATGTGAAAGATGTTTTTCAAAGTGGGAGATGGATAAAAGCCTCAGAACACAATGTGCTTATGAACTATCACAATTTAAAAAACAAAGTATTAAAGATTAACCAACTGGTAAACAGACTAAGTACCTCTAGGAGCACTGTTTAAGTAACTTGGAGGGCCGTGTTGGTGACGGGGAATATCTACTGCTGGCCTTTCCCTTGCCATCCATCATTCAACATTGGAGGCTTCTGGGCTCTTTTGAAAGTGACTAACAGACTCTAGGACTGCTTCAGATTAAATACCAGGTGAGGCAGCAAAGGGATAGAGAGTTCCAAGGAGGACGTTCCTCAGAGAGGGCAGGCGTGTGTGCCCTGGCTGGGGATCCCAGAAGACGGCTGAAGGAGTCCTTCTGAACACAGTCTGAAGGGTGTTTTACACAGTTTAGACAGTGCAAAGCACTTGAGAAATAGACAAAGGAACCAGAACTCCCTTGTTATCTGGAATAGTTGTTGTGCCATCTGGTTGACCCAAGGAACAGTGGGAAGACACATTATTTTAAAATACTTTTTTACTAATAACAGATTGTAGAAATTATCTAGGGGCTGTTGGGAGTTATGCATTTTGAATAAGCCTGTTTCTCCAATATCTGGGATCAATAGTTCAGGGAGATTAGGGGCTTTGATGTCAAGTATAAGGGAAAGGAACTCTTTTAAAAAGAGTGAATCCATGCTGGGGCTCTGTTCAGAGGGTGAAAGACCCTGCAAGCAGTGGACACTAAGTTGCTTAGTTTACACCTCCAGATGGTTTCCACTCACTTTGCACACTACAGTGGTGGTGTGTTTTGTTTCAGAGACAGGTCGTGCTGTGTCAGTTAGAGAGGCCTGGAACTCTTTTCATATTCCTGCTGGCCTCTAACTCTCTGTCTCCTGTGTCTATCTCTTGAGTGCTGGGATTATGTAAGCATGACCACATCTAACCCTAATGTAAAAAGAGGGGCCCGGCTCTGAAAATGTAGCTTCATTATCAGTAGGGCCCACTCAGTCTACTTCAATTCAGTCATGAATTTTCTTTTCTCCTCTTTTCCTTTGAGTTTTATAATCTTGGGCATCAGTAGTGTGTCCATGACTGGCAACTGGCAGCAGGCTCCTGCTACGTCAATGATCCTTTTATTAACATGGTCAGGGGCAAAACAATATTCCTGTGAGAAAACCAGTGGCTGGAGGGAGCTACTCCATCTACACCACGAGTCAAATGCAGAGAAGAAACCAGGGTCACCACTGTCCACCAAGGTGTTGAGCTGCTGAAGCAAGCTGAATTGAAATCGATAATTATGACTGTGATTGATAACTGCAGCTGACAGACACAAACGTAAACAGTGACTATTTGTGTGTGTATTAGGTGTTGTTGTGTATTAATTCACTAGTGTCTTTTTTTCCAAAATGGCAGGCAGGAAACATGGGTATTATAGAGGTATGCTAACTCATGTGTTCTGCTCAGGGCATTTACAGCCCAGTAGAAGATGGGATTGATCCAAGACAATCCAATTGACCTCATTTCCTCTGCAGATGGCATACTGCTAGCCTATAAGAGTAGGTGAGATTTGGGGAGAGTTTCCTTTACTGTTGTAGCCAAAATGCCTTTTGGGCCAGATGGTCCTATCTATGTGGGTCACATGCAGTTATTGAGCCCCTGGGACATGATAAAAATGGCTGAATGGGAAGATGGCAAGTCTAGAATCTCAGACAACCTAGGTAAGTCCTGGACTAACCAAACAGAGATACATCCTTTGTTTTTCTGTATACTAGAAAACCAATTATAAGTGTATAAGATACCAAAGTGTCTGGATGATCTCACTCAATTAAGCACTATTAAGGACTTGTTGTGCTTATATTAAGCCACTCTAAAATACTAATACAATGAGCATATACACACTTAGGAGACAATTATTTTTAAGCAACAACGACACGTGACCTGGGTTTGCTGAATGATGCTTTGCTGAAAAGAAGATGCATGAGCCATGGACAGTCCCAAGGCTGTGCCGATGACCACATGCACTCAACGACATGGGGTATCTAAGGGTTGGGATGCACAGCTCCCTGTCCTTGCAAGTGATGTCGGAGTTTATTGAGAAAAGTCTGAGAGGCTGGGAAAACGAAAAGGGTCCTGAGAAGCACTTGTTCCTAAGCCTTCCTCACAGGAAGCCCCCATGTGGTTGCTGGGAATTGAACTCAGGACCTCTGGAAAAGCAGTTGGTGTTCTTAACCACTGAGCCATCTCTCCAGCCCCAAGTGGTGCATTTTTAAAGTTATTTTTGAACATTAAGGCCATACACTACACAAAAGGGAAACCAAGTCACTGACAAGGAGTGCTCCCTTGCTGTGCTCCTCTGGCTTCCCCTATGGTGCCTCCTTATCCCTTTAGAGGGAGAGGAAGCTCACACTCCAAGTGGTTTTGTGCTGATCATTTTCAAAGCTGTCTTAATCTCCTTTGTTGCCACAGTTCAAGACAACTTCCTTAACCTCCAATTTCACTGCAATCTTCACATATGTATACACACACACACACACACACACACACACACACACACACACACAGAGAGAGAGAGAGAGAGAGAGAGAGAGAGAGAGAGCGCCCAAAGAGGATATAGATGCTGGACAGGCATGAGGGTATCAGGGGATGATGGGGAACAGTAGGGACCAGGGTGAATAGGTGAGCAGATGGCTGGGTGGTCACTGTGATGTTATTTCTGTTGACACCTCAACAGGGGCCCCAGAAGTAACTGAACTAACTTTTTCTAAGGAGACTGCTCAGTGGACTGCAGTTATGAGGATCGTAGCTTAGATCCCATTACTCATGTGAAACTCCTTTGGGACGGTGAAGACCCTGTAACCCCCGCAAGTGGGGACCTGGGGTGCGACAGGAGCATCCTCGGGATGAGCTGAGTAGTGAGCCTGGGGTTCGGCAATAGATGCTGCTGTGGTAAACTTGGAAATGAGTGACGAAGACAACCGATGTCAACCTCTGGCCTCCACGTGCACTCCCACACGTGCACCCCCACACGTGCGCTCCCACACGTGCGCTCCCACACGTGCACCCCCACACATGCGCATATGAACGGACACGTGTGAAGAACCAGAAAGACAAAGGTTAAAAACAAGCCCCAGCCTGAATGCCCCGTTGGAGTGACTCTGTCTTGCTGAAATCTGACAGAGGAGGACTGGAGGACACGTGCGGATTAGGAACGTTGGCCTGGACTCAACTGGCTTTCCTGATGGGCGGGAAAGTGTCCTCTTCCACACAGTTTCATCTCGGCGAATAGTGTTTGAATGGCCAGCAGCTCTTACCAATTATGGAATCCCAAAGTGTCTCTCTCAGAGGCCACCAGAGCCAGAATCAGAGGACTGAGAAGGGCACGTGCAAATTACGAGTATAGTTTTATAGAGTCTAGCCTTCTCCCTTGGATGCCAGGGATAAAGGATGGGTGTGATGATGTGCGTCTGTCATCCCAGCACTGAGGAGTCTGGGTAAGGCCTTAGTTACAGAGAGATACTCTGGAAAAAAAAAAAAAAAACCCAACAACCTAAGAAAGAGTAATTAAGTGGAGTTCACTGACACCCTAGGCTCAAGCAGCCTCTAAAATAAATAGGTCAGGCAGAGTGCTGAGGGTGAGAGTTCCCGATGTTCTCTGCAGATGGTGATGCAATGATATTTTACTCATGTATCTGTATTCATGCACATGGAAGTGAAGGAGCAATGGCCAGAAAGTGGATGCTTCTTGCTCTGGGCTCTTCAGTCCACGCTGCTGGTGGAGGTTAGCGACAGTTCAGTGCCAGCAGAGGCCAAGGCCTGGACATCAGCTGTGCCTTAGAGAGCGCTGTCCTTGTGGCTGCGTGTTTACCCTCATCAGGGAGGCTACTGATTCACCAGGACTTAGCTCAGACCCTTCCGATCTGTTTACCCAGATCAGTCATGGCAGACTACTGCTGGAGCGGAACAGAATGCCCCAGGCTCCTAGCTCTAAGGAATCCCAGCTATTTATCCATGATCAAGAAAGAAAACTTGGCAGGTGATGGTTTAGTCACTATAGCCAGGGCATTGGATTTCACTTGGTGTGAGAGCTCACCTGCTGAGTGGCTCACTGATGGGGCAAATATCCAGGTCCCTGGTGAGCCATACATGGGAGAGGAGGTACAGACCTGCGGTGACCAAATACTCAGTGACCAAATCCTTGTGGCAAACAGTACAAGGGGCTAAGGCTCCAGGAGGATGCCTGACACCATTTGCTAGCCACAGGACAATCAGGCTTTGAATCGAAGGGCTTGGGCCCCACAGTGCTGGTCTTTCCCAACTCTGCTTCTCACCAGTAGCAAGGAGGCAGAGACACAAATCCAGGTCAAGTGAGATAAGGCCACACCTGAGTTCCCTCAGGAATCTTCCACAGTATAACAATTGCATGCTGATTCTTCTGAGCAGCATGGAAAACGTGATTAGGCGGCACCATCCACTTATCTGAGATCT